CTCTTAATTTAAAAAGATTGATTCTAGGACTGTAGAATAAATAGGAGGGGATATGAAAGAAATCCTCAGAAGTATTACTTTTGCATTCCAATTTCATGTTGACTTGATATATAAGATGGCTTTTTGTTTTTTAAAGGCTTTTATCTTGAGAACGTGATGTCTGGAGTTAAACATACTGGTGTATTTCCACACCTGTACTATTCTTGTGATCCCTTAGGAATGAGTATGATTTGAACCAAGAGAGGGTGTCAAATTGAAAACCAGGCAGATCCACCACCTATAATAAAAAAGGAGCACCTATAATAAAAAGTAAATTGGTTGAAGAAATTAGATACCAAAGATTCTTGGTGAATTTTGAAGTCTTCATCGGTATATCCATATTAAAAGGAGATGACAGAAGCCAAAATAAAAGAATTATGGGCTGAAACAACTGGATTAAAATAAGCATTAGTTTCATTAAAAAGGGATAACTTGAACATAAATCTTTTCATTTCGGCTCCTTAGAGGATCTAAAGTGACCCTGATGGACAGTAAAGAAATCATAACATGAAATTCCTTAAATAAAAATTTATTGACTTTTGGCTAATGTTACATATACACAATTACAAAAAACAAATGAAAAAAACAAACAAACAAACAAACAAACAAAAGGCTGGATGCAGTGGCTCACGCCTGTAATCCCAGCACTCTGGGAGGCCGAGGTAGGCGGATCACCTGAGGTCGGGAATTTAAGACCAGTCTGACCAACATGGTGAAACCCCGTCTTAAAAAAAAAAAGAGAAAAAAAAAAGGCCGGGTGCGGTGGCCCACGCCTATAATGCCAGCACTTTGGGAGGCCGAGGCGGGTGGATCACGAGGTCAAGAGATCGAGACCATCCTGCTCAACAAGGTGAAACCCCATCTCTACTAAAAATACAAAAATTAGCTGGGCATGGTGGTGCGCGCCTGTAGTCCCAGCTACTCGGGAGGCTGAGGCAGGAGAATTGCTTGAACCCAGAAGGCGGAGGTAGCAGTGAGCCGAGATCACGCCATTGCACTCCAGCCTGGGTAACAAGAGCAAAACTCCGTCTCAAAAAAAAAAAAAAAAAAAAAAACTTGGCCGGCATTGTGGGGCATGCCTGTAATTGCAGTTACTCGGGAAGCTGAGGCAGGATAATCACTTGAACCTGGGAAGTGGAGGTTGTGGTGAGCTAAGATCGTGCCATTGCACTCCAGCCTGGGTAACAAGAGCAAGAATCCATCTTAAAAAAAAAAAGTACAGTGACATAATCTTAGCTCACTGTATCCCTGACCTCCCAAGCTCAAGTAACTCTCCCACCTCAGCCTCCCAAGTAGGTGGGACTACAGGTGCATGCCACCATACCCAGATTATTTTTTGCTTTTTTTTTTTTTTTTTTTTGCAGAGATTAGGTCTATGTTGCCCAGGCCAGCCTTTGAACTCCTGAGCTCAGGGGATCTGCCCACCTTGGCCTCCCAACATGCTGGGATTACAGGCATGAGCCACCATGCCTGGCCACATTAGATGTACATGCTCTAAACATCCCAATTAAAAACCAGAGATTGTCAGATCGTACTGAATTGAAAAACACCCAATTATATGCCACCTACATGAAGGGCACCTTAAATATAAAAGTAGACAAAAATTAAAATAGGCTTATATTTTAATAACATAATAATTAGGTGTGTACCCTTATAATAGGGTACAGTGGCTCCTACCAATAATCCCAGCATTTTGGGAGGCCAGGGTGGGAGGATCACTTAAGGCCAGCATTTTGAGACTAGCTTTGGCAACACGGCGAGACCCTGTCTATACAAAAATTTTAAAATTAGCCAGGCGTGGTGGCACACGTCTATAGACCTAGATAGGAGGCTGAGAAGGGAAGTTCACTTGAGTCCAGAAGGTTGAGGCTGCAGTGAGCCAAGATCATGCCTCTGCACTCCAGCCTGGGTGACAGAGCAAAACCCTGTCTCTTAAATAATAATATTGTTGACCGGGTGCAGTGGCTCATGCCTGTAATCCCAGCACTTTGGGAGGCTGGGGTGGGCAGATCACCTGAGGTCACGAGTTTGAGACCAACCTGGCCAACATGGTGAAACCCCATTGCTACTAAAAATAAAAAAAATTAGCTGGGTGTGATGGTGGGTGTCTGCAATCTCAGCTACTTGGGAAGCTGAGGCAGGAGAATCACTTGAACCCAGGAGGCAGAGGTTGCAGTGAGCTGAGATCGTGCCACTGTACTCCAGCTTGGAAAACAGAGCGAGACTCCGTCTGAAAAAAAAAAAAAAAAAGTTAAAAGTAAAATTGGCCGGATACAGTGGTTTATGTAATCTCGGAACTTTGGGAGGCCAAGGTGGGCAGATCACTTGAGCCCAGGAGTTCAAGACCAAACTGGCAACATGGCAAAACCCCATCTCTGCAAAAAATACAAAAATTAGCCAGGCATGGTAGCATATACCTGTAGTCCCAGCTATTTGGGAGGTGGAGGTAGAGGCTGCAGAGAGCCGTCATCATGCCACTGCACTCTAGCCTAGGCAACAGAATAAGACTCTGTCTTAAAAAAAAAAAAAAAAAAAAAACACACACACAGGAAAAAAGAGGTAAAATAATGGAGTAAGATAGACCATAAGAAGAGCAATAAAGAGAAAACTGGCATGGGAGCTATGTCAGTACAAAACAGTAGATTTCAGAGTAAAGACTGTTACCTGGGATAAAGAGGGCACTTTCATCAAGAGGCCTGTCACCAGCAATCCTTGGCTTGTGGGCACATCACTCCATCTCTGCCCCGCTGTCATCCCATGACATTCTTCCTGTCTTTGTTTCTTATAAGGTTACCAGTCAATTGGATTAGAGCTCACCCTAATAACTTCATCTTAACTTGATTACATCTGCAGATACCTTATTTCCAGATAAAGTCACATTAGCAAGTCCTAGGGGTTAGGACTTCAAGACCTTTTTTTAAATTTTATTTTTTAAGAGATGAGGGTCTTGCTATGTTGCCCAGGTTGGTCTTGAACTCTTGGCTTCAAGCAATCCTCCTGCCTCAGCTTCCTGAGTAACTGAGATTATAGGTGTGAGCCACCATGCCAGGCTCTTCAACATCTTTCTAGGGGACACAGTTCAACCAAAACAAAAGACATAACCTGTTCCAAGGCCAGGTGCAGTGGTTCACACCTGTAATCCCAGCATTTCGGGAGACTGAGGCAGGCAGATCACCTGAGGTTAGGAATTCAAGATCAGCCTGGACAACATGGTGAAACCACATCTCTATTAAAAATACAAAAGTCAGCCAGGCATGGTGGTGGGTGCCTGAATCCCAGCTACTCGGGAGGCTGAGGCAGGAGAATCACTTGAACCTGGGAGGCAGAGGTTGCTTTGGGCCAAGATCATTGCCACTGCATTCCAGCCTGAGCAACAAGAGTGAGACTCTGTCCCAAAAAATAAAACCAAACTAAAGACATACCTGGGCTGGGCACAGCTCATGCCTGTAATCCTAGCATTTTGGGAGGCTGAGATGGGTGGATCACCTGAGGTCAGGAGTTTGAGACGAGCCTGAAACCCTGTCTTTAAAAATTAAAAATAAAAAAGACATACCTGTTCTAAACATTGCACACTTAATAATAAAGATTCAAAATACACAAAGCCAAACTGCTAGAACTGCCGGAACAGAGAAATTCATAATTAAGACTGGAGATTTCAGTATCCTTTCATAATCATTATGCTATTGAGAAAATCAGCAAATAAGAAAACTGAACAGTACCTAGTTAATATTTATAACTTTTTGGGGGGCTAGGTATAGTGGCTCACGACTGTAATCCCAGCACTTTGAGAAACTGAAGCGGCAGATCACCTGATGTCAGGAGTTTGAGACCAGCATGGCCAACATAGTAAAACCCCATCTCTACTAAAAATACAAAAATTGGCTGGGCATGGTGGTGGCACCTGTAATCTCAGCTACTCAGTAGGCTAAGGCAGGAGAATCACTTGAATCCAGGAGGCAGAGACTGCAGTGAGCCAAGATTGTGCCATTGCACTCCAGCCTGAGTGACAGAGCAAGACTGTCTCAAAAAATATGTACATGAATTTTTTTTTCTTTGGGACGAAGTTTTGCTCGTTACCCAGGCTGCAGTGCGATGGCGCAATCTCAGCTCACCACAACTTCCGCCTCCTGGGTTCAAGCAATTCTCCTGCCTCAGTCTCCCAAGTAGCTGGGGCTACAGGTGTGCGCCACCATGCCCAGCTAATTTTTGTATTTTTAGTAGAGACGGGGTTTCACCGTGTTGACCAGGATGGTCTTGATATCTTGACCTCATGATCCACCCACCTCGGCCTCCCAAAGTGCTGGGATTATAGGTGTGAGCCATTGCGTCCGGCCTATTTTTTCTAGAGACTGATTCTTCCACTGTCACCCAGGCTGGAAGTTCAGTGCTATGATTATAGCTCACTGTAATAACCTCAAACTCCTAGGCTCAAGTGATCCTCCCAGCTCGGCCTGCCAAGTAGCTAGGACTACAAGTACATGCCACCATGCCAAGTTTTTTTCGTGTTTGTTTTTTGGTAGAGACAGGGTCTCACTATATTGCTCAGGCTGGTCTAGAACTCCTAGCCTCAAGCCTCAAGTGATTTTTCCAGCCTCAGCTTCCCAAAGCATGGGGATTACAGGCGTGAACCACCATGCTGGCCTAATTGATATTTATAGACTACTCCACCGAACAGCAGAACACACATTATTTTTAAGGGCAGATGAAAAATTAATTAAGATACACCCTAGCCTAGGCTATAAAGTACGTCTTGGTGATAAACATAATTTTTTTTTTCCACTCAGCGAGGCTAGTTTACTTCATGCAGGAAGGGTATAACTCCCTCACAGTCTTGGCATGAACAAAAAAGACAGACATAAAGTAACCTAATTTGTCATCCAGCTGAAATGTGTAAACCAAAAACACAGCATTGATTTTAATGTTTAAACAGGACAGTTTACAAAAAAGTAAATACATATGGCTCAAACAAAGATATCCAACTTTATTTTTGTTTATTTTAAAGAGATAAGGTCTCACTCTGTTGCCTAGGCTCTGGAGCATAGTGGTGAGATTGTGGCTCATGCAGCCTTCAATTTCTGGGCTTCAGCAATCCTCTCGCCTCAGCCTCCCAAGTAGCTGGGACTTCAGGTATGCACCACCACACCTTGCTAATTAAAAAAAAACTGTAGTGATGGGGTCTTAATATGTTGCCAGTCTGATCTTGAACTCGTGGCCTCAAGTGACCTTCCTTTCTGTGTAGGCCCTCAAAGAGCTGAGATTTAAAGTGCGAGCCACCACCATCAGTCCCCAACCTTATTCTTAAGTGAATATAAAAAATACCACTGGGATTAAAATGCCCTTTTTAAACTAACAGATTGGGAAAGATCAAAACATTTGATAACACTGATAAAGATTTAATAGGCACTCTCATGCATTGTGGGTGGGGCTGCAAACTGGCACAATCCTTATAGATGGCAACTTGCCAATATCTATCAAAAGTAAAAATGCACATATCTTGACCCAGTAATTCTAATGTTAGATTTCCAGCATACAGTAACTTACTCATGGTGCAATATGACCCACATACAAGGTTATAAAATAAATCATTATTTATTTATTTATTTATTTTTTTTTGAGATGGAGTTTCGCTCATTACCCAGGCTGTAATGCAATGGCGCGATCTCGGCTCACCGCAACCTCCGCCTCCTGGGTTCAGGCAATTCTCCTACCTCAGCCTCCTGAGTAGCTGGGATTACAGGCACACGCCACCACGCCCAGCTAATTTTTTGTATTTTTAGTAGAGACGGGGTTTCACCTCATTGACCGGGATGGTCTCGATCGCTTGACCTTGTGATCCACCCGTCTTGGCCTCCCAGAGTGCTGGGATTACAGGCTTGAGCCACCGCGCCCGGCCTATGAATCATTATTTATAATAGCAAAGGTTAGAAAAAAAAATGTCAGTAGGGACTACTCAAATATACTATGGTAGGCCCTACATTTTTCATACAAAATCTGCAGTTATAGACAAAGAATCAAAAAACTCTTCATGTAATGACATGAGACAATCTCAAAAATGTTACATGGAAAAGACATGCTGAAGAACAGTGTACACTATATAATACCACTTAGGAAAAATATCTCTAGAGGGATATTTAGGGAACAGATAACACTTTTCAGGAAGAGAAAATGAGTTCTAAAGGAGGGAAGGCGACTTCACTGTATATTGTTCTATGGTTTTTGAATTTTGAACAATTTTGAAATAAAAACATTCCAACAGAAATACAAGTCTAAGTTCAAATGAGCAAGTGTTATATTTCTTTCATCTGACTGATAAACTTTTCCACAATTTCATCGAGTTTTTCAGGCTCCATTAGTTTATTTACCAATTCCTGCTCAACAGCCATTAGGGCTGGGCCAGTAAGCTTCTCTTGTCCCATGGTATTACATAAATATGTTTTGAGACGAGGCAGGGTAGAAAATGAGTTTTCAGTACTTGCTGAAGTAATTGGCCAAGACAAAGCAATATATAATAGCTTTGAGAGGCAAGGAATATTATTGTGAAGACCATGCTGAATAAACAAATAGCCAAGACTGATGAAGTTTATGCAATTATTATCTATGACAAAGTTGAGTTTTGCATAATGTCGATAAAATCTAAGTTCTGGGATAATGTCCTCATCAAGTTTATAAAATTCCTGAATATGTTTTGCTGTTGTTTCATTTAATGGTTCATTCCATTTAAATAAGAGTTCTGAAATTTGCTTTATTTTGCAATAATCAAACTCTGAAAAACATAATTTTAAATTTTGTAATACAGTATCTAATCCTTGGTAATAGATATTAATTTTATATTGTTCTTCTGTTGAAGTAGGAAAAAACATATTATCTGAATTGCCAAGATCTACTGATTTCTGAATTTTTCTTCTTTTCTGAAGAGAAGGTTTTTCAACTTTAAAACCTTTACACGTTATTTTTTGACATATCTCCTCTGCTCCATCCCAGATTGTTTTAAAATATACATCATTTCTTTCAGATGATAAACATTCCAAAATTGCTTCTATTTTTGAAGACAAAGAAAAAATGTCTATGGTTTTATTTTGAAGCTCTTTGGAAAGAATTCCTGTAACACTTAGCACTCGATACAGAAATTTCAAACAAAAGACAAATTCAAATTTGGAAACCAATGTCAGCAAATCACTCAATTCATCAGCGAAACTTGTATTTGAAGAATGGCTTGCTATAACTTCCAATGTTTCAATAATCTCCGGAAGACCGTCAATCACAGATAGTAATATACGATCATGGACTGTCCAACATGATTGTGATATATGTTTCTTGCATGTTTTGTTTTGACTTAGCCTACAAATGTTTCGAAAATTTGCCAACATTTCCCCAGACATACGAATAGTGTTGAACAAAGAACTGAGAGTTTTTAGAGCACTTCGGAGTTCTTTTACTTCTTTACAAAACCTAATTATTGCTAAATCCAAAAAGTGGGCATAACAGTGTATGTATAAAGCTCTTGGTTCTCCTTTCTTGAATTCTGCTGCAATTTTATTAAATTTTATCCTCAAATTAGTGGTGCTATCATAGGCCTGGCCATGTATTTTATCCATATCAACCCCAATTTGCTGCAGATAAGTTATGATAGTCCTATATAAATGGGTCCCAGTTATCTCCTCAGCATCAACAAAACCTAAGAATCTTTCCTTAATTAAGATAGCGTTTGATGATTTTTGCGGGTATCTTACACAAATTGACAGCTGTTCTTTCATGGCACTATTGGTTGTCTCATCACATATTATTGAAAACGCTGGGGAGTCATTGATCTCATTCACAATATCCTGCAACATTTCAGTCTTTATTATTTCAATAATATCGCTTTGAATTTGTGTGCTATTATAGAAGTCAACTTGTGAATTCATAAGTCGAAATATTTCTTCTCCTTTATCTTTTGCTCTGATTTCTAACAATTCTAAAAAATTGCCTTTATTCACAGATGAAATAGACAGGTCATTTCCTCTTAAGGGTAAACACTGCTTTCCAAGAAATAAAATATTTTCAATTATAAGCTTTAGGTACTTTTTATTTCCCTCAATCTGTTTCGAATGAATAGATAAATCACCACTGATAGCTCCATCACAAAACTGGTATTCTCTCCAAAATTCCAATGACTTCAAATGCATTTCACTTTTTTCATGCTTTCTGAATTTTTCCAGAGTTTTTTTCCAATTTGAAGTTCCGTGGGTTGCAAATGACTCTCTTTCACAGCTAAAATATTTTTGGCAGAACAACTGGCATGAATAACAGAATGTCACATCTTTTTTACTGTTTTCCAAACACTGAAAATCTGCACAAGATTTTTTAATACTTCGTGATTTACCTTTAACTTTCTGTACTTTGGATGTACATTTTGGGTTACATGGTTCATCACTTATTTTCATAGATTTCATATTACATGCAGGATCCTGGTTTGACACTTTATCTTTTTGTACTTCTACACTGGAACCAATTGCATGTTGACTGAATACTGATGAAGATGGTGAGAGACTTGGCTGTTCCATACTATTACTAGCAGTACCACTACTGGATTTACTAGGTGAACTCTTAGAAAGCTTTGGGAGAAAATGAGCAAAGAACACTTGTTATAACAGTTTTCAAAAATAAATTAAAATACCAAATATATTTACTCTAATTACACAGTAAAATAAATGACCGAGTTATAGTATGAGCTCCACTAGAAGGAAACATGAATAATGATGTATAACTTATTTATTTGCAATCTAGATTCAGAATTAAATGTCTGAAGGACCTTTTGGTATGTAATTGTCATAATTATATACAAAATAAATTTTTATCGCTCAGATGACTCAAATGGCTTAGTAATTTTTTTTTCTTTTCTTTTTTTCCTTTGCATTGGAAGTAATTTTTTAAAAGAAGAACCCAGAGTAAAAAAATAACTTCTGTTTAAACAATTTACACACACACACACACACACGAGCACATGCACACTATATATGTATATATATAAAATCTGGGCTGGGTGTGGTGGCTTACACCTGTAATCCCAGCACTTTGGGAGGCCAAGACGGGTGGACCACCTGAAGTCAGCAGTTCAAGACCAGCCTGACTGACCCACATAGGGAACCCCATCTCTACTAAAAATACAAAAAGTAGCCGGGCCTGATGGCAGGAGCCTGTAATCCCAGCTACTAGGGAGGCTGAGGCAGGAGAATTACTTGAACCTGGGAGGCGGAGGTTGCAGTAAGCCAAGATTGCATCACTGCACTCCGGCCTGGGTGGCAGAGCAAGACTCCACCTCAAAAACAAAAAAAAAATCCGCTTATTAAAAAAAGACCATGGTAAAAAAGAAAGTTAAAATAAAACTTACATCCACAATGACATCTGCTGTTACTGAAGAAACTGTATCTGTTAAAATAGAGCATAAATTCAAGATATTATACTATATCCTATAAAATAGCATCATAAACTGTAATTGCTCATTTCATACAAGAAAAAGAAAATTTAGCATATAGAGATTTATCAAGTGTGACAAAACAATATTTATGTCAAATATCTTAACATCAACTTTTACCTTGTAAGACATCATTGTTCATGATGGGCAAGGTAACATGAGTGTCTGCCAATGACACTATATTGCTTATAACCGGAGTTGTATCTTTCTTTGGAGAAAGAAGCTCTGTTGAAGTATCATGTGCCATGGAAACATTTACTGACAAAAACAAAAACAAAAAGATTTCTTAAAAAGTAGGAAAAAAAAAAATTCAATCAATCAGATAGTACTGTTTAATAACGCTATTTCAAGAAATAATGCAGGCATTTAACAGCATAAGAAATTGGTAGGTGCTGAAGTAATTTTTATTAGGGCTTAGGAATAGCCAGGTTCTTTAGTATCATATTTATAATTACAATACTACACTGGAAATTTACACTGCTCGAACATTTTATGTCTTAACCTTTGTGCACAATTTCCTAGCCCTTTTAAACAATTTGTTTAAAATTATGAGCAAATTTTTACTGTCATATTACTCATGAAGAAAAGAGATTCCTATAGAATCTCCTAATGGGCATCAATTTCAAACTCTTCCAGGATTCATAAACCTCAGCATCAATGGAGCGCTAGGCTGGTGTCCAAGCTACTATTGCAGACATTTCTGTAACAAGCCAGTTTGCATGATTTACAAATCCCAGAGGCATCATTCAATCTATGGTCTACGTAAATAGCACCACTAGTCCTACATGAGGCTTTCTGATGGAATACTTAGTTGGCTGGATTATTTGTGCTTTTTTATTAGTGAGTCTTAAAGCATTTACAATTACCTCTATTTCACGTTTAAAAAAAAAAAAAAAGTAGCCAGGTGCAGTGGCTCAAGCCTGTAATCCCAGCACTTTAGGAGGCCAAGGCGGGTGGATCACAAGGTCAAGAGATCGAGACCATCTTGGTCAACAAACCCCGTCTCTACTAAAAATACAAAAATTAGCTGGGCACGGTGGTGCGTGCCTGTAATCCCAGCTACTCAGGAGGCTGAGGCAGAACTGCCTGAACCCAGGAGGCGGAGGTTGCGGTGAGCCGAGATCGTGCCATTGCACTCCAGCCTGGGTAACAAGAGCAAAACTCCATCTCAAAAAACTAATGAAAATTCTTGTTTTTACAAAGCAGGGCTAAGTAAAACATTCTATGTCTTAATAGAAGCAGTCTTGTAAATATATTAATTAAACTCTATGTTGACCGAGTGCCTCCTATGTACCATGTTCTGCAATAGGTACGCTCTCTCTTTCCATTTATATATGTATATACTTTTTTTCTTTTTGAGACGAGTCTCACTCTGTAGCTCAGGCTGGAATGCAGTGGCCAAGGCTTGGCTCACTGCAGCTTCCACCTTCCAGTTTCAAGTGATTCTCCTGCCTCAGCCTACTGAGTAGCTGGGATTACAGGAATGTGCCACCATGCCCAGCTAATATTTGTATTTTTAGTAGGGACGGGGTTTCACCATATTGGCCGGGCTGGTCGTGAACTCCTGACCTCATGATCCGCTCACGTTGGCCTCCCAAAGTGCTCGGGATTAAAGGCGTGAACCACTATGCCCAGCTGATGCGCATATATATTGATGTAAACGTATGTATGTTCATTTACTAAAGAATCCAAATAATCTAAAGACACGTATATTTAAATTTTTATTTTATTATTATTATTATTTTTGAGACAGAGTCTCCCTCTGTTGCCCAAACTGGAGTCCAATCGTGTGATCTCGGCTCACTACAACCTCCACCACCCAGGTTCAAGTGATTCTCCTTCCTCAGCCCCCTAAGTAGCTGGGATTACAGGCACCCACCACCACACCCACAGAATATTTTGTATTTTTAGTAGGGAATGGTTTCGCTATGTTGGCCAGGCTGGTCTTGAACTCCTGACCTCATGGATCCACCTGCCTTGGCCTTCCAAAGTGCTGAGATTATAGGCGTGAGCCAGTGTGCCAGGTTTACAAATAATATTAAATCTTGGGTGGTTAAGTAGCCTTACTTTTATACAAAAATACTGAAGAATAGTTCTTTGCAGCAAGTTTAGATTGTTTTGACTTTAAAAGTCAGTTTAAGTTGAAAATTAATCAAGGTTATAAATTAAAGCAAAATATTATTATTAATAATCACTAAACCCATGAAATTGCTAAACAAACATTACCTGAAGAAGATTCCATCTTAGCTTTACTGTATGCAGAGAAACAATTAATAGAGCAGAAAAGCGCTGTCTTCCCCAAATCACTGGTAGTCTCAATCATTTCATCTGAGGGCTTCAATGGTTTGCAAGGAACAGATGTAAGTGGTTTGGCAGCTTTCTGTGTAGAGATTAAAAGAATATTCATATTCCTGATATATGACATATGCTGTTAACAAACAAGAACTTATCTATTACCACTGCTTTTAGTTGAAATATTAAAAAGAACAGGCCAGGCGGGGTGGTTCATGCCTGTAATCCCAGCACTTTGGGAATCTGAGGCGGATAGATTACTTGGGGTCAGGAGTTCAAGACCAGCCTGGCCATATGGTGAAACCCCACCTACTAAATATACAAAAATTAGCTGGGGGTGGTGGTAGACACCTGTAATCCCAGCTACTTGGGAGGCTGAGGCATGCAGATCACTTGAACCCGAGAGGTGGAGGTTGCAGTGAGCTGATAACATGACACCACACTCCAGCCTGGGTGACAGAGTGAGACTTTGTCTCAAATTAAAAATAAAAAATGAAAACAATAACAATGAAGCCAGTTTTTACATTTTCTTAAAAAAGATATTACAGATTACAATAATTAAAATAAAGAATATTGGCAAATTTGAAAATGATTTTATTAGCTATATTTAACAGCAATAATACCTATGAAAGCAATAGGGCCAGGCTCAATCTAGCACTTTGGGAGGCTGAGGCGGGCAGATCACCTGAGGTTAAGAGTTTGAGACCAGCCTGGCCAACATGGTGAAACCCATCTACTAAAAATACAAAAAATTAGCTGCAGGTGGTGGTGAGCGCCTGTAATCCCAGCTACTTGGAGGCTGAGGCAGGAGAATCACTTGAACCTGGGTAGTGGAGGTTGCAGTGAGCCAAGATCACGCCACAGTACTCCAGCCTGAGTGAAACTCCATTTCAAGAAAAAAATATAAAATGAAATAAAGCAATAGAAAAAGTGGTCACAAAAGAAGTTCATCATATCAGGCAGTCAAAGCCTACTGGATAAACAAAGGCCTTATTAATTACAGGTGTGTCCTCAATCGTAGCTTGGGAATTAACTTTGGAAAATGTCTACCGACGCTGAGGAGTAGCCAGGAAGGAGTGCTTAACATACCTTACAAGTTACTGTGGGAATTACTGTTTTTCTAGGCTAACTTCATCGTAAAAATTATTTTGAGTTCAGTAAGTAGTAACTGTGTCAAAGAAAGGATATAAACTTTGCGAAAGGCAGGCATTACTGCAAAGATTATGTTTATCATCTATTCTTTCTAGTCAAACAGGACCCAACACTCCTGGATTTAAGAACATATCAGAGCCTGGGCACAGTGGCTCACAGCTATAATCTCAACTTTCAGAGGCTGAGGCAGGAGGATCACTTGAACCCAGGAGTTTCAGACCAGACTGCTAAAGTAGTAAGACCTCATCTCTTAAATATAAATAAATAAATAAAAATAAAAAATTAGCCTAGTGTGGTGGGATGTGCCTGTAGTCCCAGCTACTTGCGAGGCTGAGGTGGGGAGGATCACTTGAGCCCAAGAAGACAGAGGTTTCAGTGAGCCAAGATCATGCCACTGCACTCCAGCCTGGGTGACGGAGTAAGACTCTATCTCAAAAAAAGAAAGAAAAAAGAATAATCAGGTTGGGTGTGGTGGCTCTTGCCTACAATCCCAGCACTTTGAGAAGCTGAGGCAGGAAGATCACTTGAGCCCAGGAGTTCGAGACCAGCCTGGGCAACAAAGTGAGACCCATCTCTACAAAAAACACAAACATAGGCTGGACGCAGTGCCTCACGCCTGTTATCCCAGCACACTGGGAGGCCAACGCGGGTGGATCACAAGGTCAAAAGATCGAGACCATCCTGGTCAACATGGTGAAACCCCGCCTCTACTAAAACTACAAAAAATTAGCTGGGCATAGTGGCACATGCCTGTAATCCCAGCTACTCAGGAGGCTGAGGCAGGAGAATTGCCTGAACCCAGGAGGCGGAGGTTGCGGTGAGCCGAGGCCATTGCACTCCAGTTTGGGTAACAAGAGCGAAACTCCGTCTCAAAAAAAAAAAAAAAAAAAAACCACAAACATAAACCAGGTGTAGTAGCACATGCCTGTGGTCCCAGCTACATGGGAGGCTGAGGCAGAAGGATTGCCTGAACACCTGAGGTTGGGCCTCCAGTGAGTTGTGCTCACCAGTGCACTCTAGCCTCCAGTCTAGACTCAGTCTAAAAAAATAAATCACCAATGGTAATGATAGAATAAAACTCCTTTTGGAGATACAAAGTACAAAGACAGGCTGGGTGTGGTGGCTCATGCCTGTAATCCCAGCACTTTGGGAGGCCGAGGCAGCCAGATTACCTGAGGTCTAGCGTTCAAGACCAGCCTGGCCATCATGGTGAAACCCCGTCTCTACAAAAATACAAACTTAGCCAGGCGTGGTGATGTGCTCCTGTAATCCCAGCTCCTCGGGAGGCTGAGGCGGAAAAATAGCTGGAACCTGGGAGGCGGAGGTTGCAGTGGGCCAAGATCGTGCAACTGCACTCCAGCCTGGGCAACAGAGCAAGACTTTGTCTCAAAAACAACAACAACAAAGTCCAAAGACAAAAAACTACATATATGTTCTATTTTTCTGTGAGAGAACAGGATATTGCCAAAGGTACAATGAAACAAATTTCTATTTTTATCCTTTATTAATATGAAAAACTTTTATATTTTGAGAAATCTTAAAAATTCACTAATCTTTAACATTAAGCAACAATAGTGGCATAATATTTATTTATTTATTTTTGAGACAGAGTCTTGCTTTGTTGTCTAGGCTGGAGTGCAGTGGTGCAATCTTGGCTTATTGCAACCGTTACCTCTGGGGTTCAAGCAATTCTCATATCTCAGCCTCCTGAGTAGCTGGAATTACAGGCATATGCCACCATGCCCGGCTAATTTTTGTATTTTTAGTAGAGAAGGGGTTTCATCATGTTGGCCAGGTTGGTCTTGAACTCCTGACCTCAAGTGATCCTCCTGTTTGGCCTCCCAAAGTGCTGGAATTAGAGGTGTGGGCCACCGGGCCTGGCCCAATAGTGGTATAATTTAAAATTAAGTTAGTTTATTATTCATAAGAAAAGGCTAACAATACACTCTATTAACATGTGGTCAAAATAATTACATCTAATAATCTACTTTTTAAAAATTAAAAGCTACCCCCTTTTTAGATTCACATATTTGGACATTTTTCTAATTCTGGATTATAGTTCACTAACATTATAGATTTACTCTGTTATCACTATCACATGGTGTCTTACATTTAGATGCAAGGGCAAAGTATTAGGCTGTACTTGTTAACTAGCTGGTTTACCCAAATCAGTCCTGTCCCTTCATATAAGCTGAACAACTAGGTACTCAATACAAGCTCTTAAAAACAGAACAAGGCCTATTTATTGTCACTAATAAATAAATTTTACAAAGGAATATTATTTCCTGCCTTTGGGAGAAGTCTGTGCTTTCCGTTTTCCCATTTCTGGTCTTAAGGCAGAATATTCTCAAGATGGGGCATTCTGCCATAGAAAAGATGTGGGTCACATATGATCTATTTGAATTATGGCTTGTTTTGACTCTCATCTTCAACTGCTTTTTCTTTTTTTTTTTCTTCTTGAGACAGAGTTTCACTTTGTTGCCCAGGGTGGAGTATAATGGTGCCATCTTGGTTCACTGCAGCCTCCACCTCCTGGGTTCAAGCGACTCACCTGCCTCAGACTCCCGAGTAGTTGGGATTACAGACGCCTGCCACCACACCTGGCTAATTTTGTATTCTTAGTAGAGACAGGGTTTTGCCAATGTTGGCCAGGCTGGTCTGCAACTCCTGACCTCATGTGATCCGCCTGCCTTGGCCTTCTGAAGTGCTGGGACAAATAATCCAAATCTCATTGGATTATTTCCTCCTATGACTGATTCAGAAAAAGCATGTGATATTCTTTTTTATTTTTTAGAGACGGGTTCTTTCTATGTTTCCCAGGCTGGTCCTTAACTCCTGGCTCAACTGAACCTCCCACCTTGGTCTCCCAAAGTGCTAGGATAACAGGTGTAAGCCACCATGCCAAGACACATGTGACCTTCTTGATTCGTTTTTGCATTGTTTAGTATAAGAGTTAAACACATGGAATTAAAAACAAAAACATGGCTAGGCTCACACCTGTAATCCCAGCACCTTAGGAGACGAAGGCAGAATCAGCTGAGTTTGGGAGTTTTAAGATAAGCTTGGACAACACAGTAAGAGCTTGTCTCTATAAAAAATTTAAAAACTAACCAGGTGTTGTGGCATGTGCCCGTAGTCCCAGCTACTCGGGATGCTGATGTTGGAGTATCACTTGAGCTAAAGAGATCAAGGCTACAGTAAGCCATGACTGCCACTGCACTCCCGGCTGGCTGACAGAGCAAGACCTTGTCACACACACACACAAAAAAAAAAAAAGAAAAAAAAGCTGGGCACGGTGGCTCACGTCTGTAATCCCAGCTCCTCAGGAGGCTGAGGCAGGAGAATCACTTGAACCCAGGAGGCAGAGGTTGCAGGCAGCCAAGATTGTGCCACTGCACTCCAACTTGGGCAAGAGAGTGAGACTCCGTCTTAAAAAATAAATAAATTAAAAACAAAACAAAAATACTTTTATGTTTGGGTTTTATTGACCAGTAGACTATTGTTTTTGCTATACTTATTTGTAGTTTATACAACCTGCTTGCCCTCTCCTTAAGGTAAGATTATCAATCTGAGATTATTTAGGAAAATCTCCATATAACATTTATAATGAATTCTTTTTTTAAATCACACCCTGCCCCATCAGGAATTCTTACGCAAGAGGAAACTGTCAAAAGTCTTCTATTTCATCTTCATCAACTTACCAACTGACATTATTCCAAAGGGTACCAAAAACTACTTCCCACATTTTCCTAGAGTGGAACCATTCATAGGGCAGTTAATAGAAGAAACAATAGGTCTTTATTCATACCTGCTTATATGCTGTAATACTCTTTGAACTATTAAAGTAATGAGACTGTCCTTCTACCTGAAGTATGTGGGACAGACTAGAGCTGGTGTAACAGTAGGCACCACAGTTCTCACAGCAGTTCATGATGAAGTTGTTAGCAGAGTGAAACTTTGAAAGGCAGGCATTACCGCAAAGATTATGATTCACATTCTGGTATTTTACTTCATACTGAATCTAGGATTTAATAAAAAGATTCAGTAAAAACTCTGATATTTAAGCAGAATCATCAGAACCCCTTCAAAAGTTATAATTGCAACTTACAGTAGCAGTCTTCTGGCACATGCTGCACTTGGTCAAAATGCTATTAGTACATATGATAACAAATGGTTTCCTTTTTTCTTCATATGATGAAAGACAAGATAGGCTGCAAAAAGTTTTGCAAGAGGCAGCATCTTCCAGCTGGACACTGATCACATCCTTTGGATTTAAAATGTCTCTAAGAATAAATATCAAGGACACCATTAAGCAGTTTAAATTATAACTTCTTTATCTTTATAAACAAAATGACCTCTCAAAATAGAGTAAGAACATTAGCCTTGAAATGAGAAAACCTGAATTGGTATCCAGTTCTCTCACATTTATACTCCCTAAGTGTTAATTTTCTCATCTATACCTCACAGATTATAAAGCACATCTGATAGTGCAGTTTTTTTGTTTTTGTTTGTTAAAGAGACAGGGTCTTGCTGTGTTGCCCAGGCTGGCCTCGAACTCTTGGGTTCAAGAGATTCTCCTGTCTTAGCCTCCCGAGTAGCTAGGATTACAGGTACGGAATCCCACCATGCCTGACTTTGACAGTACAGTTTTGAAGACGAGCTAGCCTATATTAGGTAGTGCTAGTGAAAACCAAGTAATGATGAGAGATCACATATTCATATGAGCAACTCTGGAAAGCTACAGGACAGAGAATCTAAAGGTATGGTCTTCAAATCCTTGGGGGGGGTTCCCCAAGATCAAAACTATTTTCATAATAATGTTATTTGCCTTTTCACTGTGTTGATGTATGCAACATCACTTTGCAACTGATGTTGCAAAGCTAATGGCAGGACCCTGCAATCCCACTCTTTGGTATACACCCAAAAAACTGAAAATGGGCACTCAAGCACATGTACCTGTATATTCATAATAGCACTATTCACAGTAGTCAAAAGATAAAAAAAACAGCCCAAACGTTCATCAGTAAATGAATGACTGGATAAGCACATTGTGTTATATACATACAGTGGAATATTATTCATCTATTAACAAAAAGAATTGAGTATTGATACATAGTGCAACATGGACAAACCTTGAAAATATTATGCTAAGGCAAAGAACCAGACATAAAAAGTCACTGCACTATAGCCTGAGCAACAGGGTAATAATATCCAGTCTCAAAAAAGTCACATTTGATTCCATTTATATGAGATATTCAGAAGATATACATCTATAGATACAATGCATACTGGTGGTTGACAGGCACTGTGGGGAGAGGGAAATCGGGAGAAACTGCTTAATGTATAAGGTGTTTTACTTTGAAGTGACGGAAATGCTCTGGAACAAGAAAGAGGTGATAGTCACACAAATTATGAATATACTAAATGCCAATGAAATTTTTTTTTTAAATACTAATTTCACTTCAATGAATTTGGAAAAGAAAAAAGGCAATAATGTCTAAAACTGTCAGAGCCTTAGCAGAAATCAAGGCAGCGGCACCAAAATGTACTAAATTCATGTTATTCCCTGCTACACATTCACTGCTAAAAATAAAAAAAGTATCCGTTTCACTTAAGGATTAAGTACAATTAAAAAATATTCTGTCTTGGCCAAGTGGTAGGGCCAGAAAAAAGTAATTCTGTGTGACAAACTGGGACAAAGGCATAAAATATTTCTGGACACCAAAGGATGACGGTTGCCTCAAGGAAAAGCTCATATGGAAATGCTGAGTTATAATAAATTAGCCACTTTTTTCATGGAAAACATTTTTACTTCAAAGTACTGTAAATAGTTTACCATAAATAGTTTAAAGACAAACTATTATCCAGAAGTGGGTATCTGCTGATATTTTCTTGAAAATGAAAAAAATGAGACTGTCACTTCAAATAAAATGACTGATAGTATTTATCACTAACGATAAAATGTTGGCTTTCAAGTGATAATTAGAATTTTGGAAAACTTGTTTCTTCCAACTTCAACTTGATTGATTCCCAAAACTTAAAAACTTTTCTGAGATTAGTGGTGATTTGAGAAATACTACCTGATAAAATATGTCCACATTTGAAAGATCTGCAGTACTAAATGAACCAATATTTTCCAAATGACAATAGCATATCACAGAAATCATTCATGGGTAAAAGATCCATTCAAAGTACAAGACAGATTAACAAATTTTAACATTAAGAGTGCAAAAAGTTAACTGAGCCACATTGTACAAAATGTTTGATTCCACATTGCAACTAGCATTTAAGAAACTACCACTTGATTTTTGGTTGTAGTATCAAAGAACATCCACACTTATCTGAAAGGCTAAACACTCTCCCCTTCTCCAATCATGTATTTGTGAGGCCAGATTTTCTTCAAACAACATATTTTGCAATAAAGTGAAGGCAGAAGCAGATATAAAAATCCAGCTAGATGTAAAGTGATTTGCAAAAGTGTTAAAACAATGATACTATTACCAATCAATTTTTTAAAATATGGCCATTTTTCATTTAAAATGTCATTTAATTTTTGATATAGTTAATATTTATAGATCTAATCTACATAACTAAAGCTTTGGGTCTTCAATAAATTTTTATTTTTTTTGAGACAGAGTCTTGCTCTGTCGCCAGGCTGGACTACAGTGGCAGGATCTCAGTTCACTGCAACCTCCACCTCCTGGGTTCAAGCAATTCTAATGCTTCAGCCTCCCAAGTAGCTGGGATTAGAGGCATGTGCCACCATACCCAGCTGATTTTTGTATTATTAGTAGAAACAGGGTTTCACCATGTTGGCCAGGATGGATTCGAACTCGTGATCCACCTGCCTCAGCCTCCCAATGTGCTGGGATTACAGGCATGAGCCACCATGCCCGGCCAGGTCTTCAATAATTTTTAAGTGTTTAAGAAGTCCTCAGACCAGAAAGTTTGAGAACTGCCACTGTAGAAAATATCAATATACCTAGTAGCTGGGTGTGGTGGCTCATGCTTTTAATCCCAGAACTTTGGGATGCCAAGGTGGGCAGATCACCTGTCAGGAGTTTGAGACCAGCCTGGCTAACATGGTGAAACTGTCTCTACTAAAAATACAAAAATTAGCCGAGCATGGTAGTGGGTGTCTGTAATTCCAGCTACTCGGGAGGCTGAGGCAGTAAAATTGCTTGAACCTGGGAGGCAGAGGTTGTAGTGAGCTGAGGTCATCCACTGTACTCTAGCCTAGGAGACAGAGAGAGACACCAACTCAAAAAAAAAAAAAAAAAATCACTATAGCTGGTTACCTAGAATCCTCAGTATATCTATATCTGAGAATAGTTTTCAAGATGAACTAACCCTGAAATTAACATTAACACTTTAATATTTTCAGCTGGGCACAGTGGTTTATGCCTGTAATCCCAGCACCTGGGAGGCTGAGGTGGGCGGATCTTTTGAGGTCAGAAGTTCTAGACCAGCCTGGCCAATATGGCGAAACCCTGTCTCTACTAAAAACAAAAATCAGCTGGGTGTGGTGGCACGTGCTTATAGTAATTCCAGCTACTCCAGAGGCTAAGACATGAGAACTGCTTGAACCTGGGAGGTGGAAACTGCAGTGAGCCAAGATTGTGCTACTGCACTGCAGCCTGGATGACAGAGTAACACTCTGTCTCAAAAAGAAAAAAAAATTCAAAATTTAATCTATTATGAACTTTCCATATTTTAAATAGAACCAAAAATAACAGGCTTACTTCATTATTACATTTGTCATTTTAGTGATTTCAAATATAGCTCATCCACAGTGCTATCCTTATAGTTCATTTGATTAAAATTCTTCTAGAATTCACTGTGTACCAAGGAATGTTAGATATAAGGGATGATATTCTAGTCCTTAATGTCAAGACTCTAGTCACAATCTAACCAGGACAGTATCAATTACTAATGACTTTAATATTTGATGATCAATGTTTTGGGAGTTATGAACACAATGCTAAAAACACAGACCACAGAATTAATTTGGGGGGCGGACAGGTTTAAGAGGAGAGTTGAAGAATGGTGTGGGAACAGACAAAAGGTAAAAATATTTGAGGCATACCTTTCAGACAGAATGATAAGACATCAGCCAGGTGGGAAGGGAGGCAGAAGAAACTACATCAGCAGGCTCATGGAAGTCTGAAAATGCTTCCAAGTTTTCATTGCTATCAGCATGCTAGATTGCTGGCTTTAAAGAATCTACTAAAGCTTTATAAAAAATTTAAAAATTATCTGCAGGAGTTGGAAATAGAACAAAAACAAAAAAAATTAAAAAATGAATGTTGGCTGGGTATGGTGGCTCACACCTGTAATCCTAGCAATTTGGGAGGCCAAGGCACGTGGATCGCCTGAGGTCAGGAGTTTAAGACCAGCCTGGCCAACATGATGAAACCCTGTCTCTACTGAAAATACAAAATTAGCCGGGCCTGGTGGTAGGCGCCTGTAATCCCAACTACTCAGGAGGCTGAGGCAGAAGAATCACTTGAACCTGGGAGGTGGAGGTTGTAGTGAGCAGAGATCTGCCACTGCACTCCAGCTTGGGCGACAGAGTGAGACTCTACCTAAAAAAAAAAAAAAAAAAAAAAAAAAGTTTGCTGGGTACACTGGCTCAAACCCAGCACTGGGGGAGGAAAAGGCAGGAAGATCACTTGAGCCCAGGAGTTCAAGACCAGCCTGGACAAGGTAAAACCATCTCTACCAAAAAAAAAAAAAAAAAAAAAAAAAAAAACTGGCCAGGCAGCGTGGCATGTGCCTATAGTCCCAGATACTTGGGAGGGTAAAGGTGGGAGGATTGCTTAAACCCAGGTGGTCAAGGCTGCAGCAAGCCAAAATGGTGCCACTGCACTCCAGCCTGGTTGACAGAGACCTTGTCTCAAAAAAAGAAAAGCCAACAACTTAGGAACAACTTTCCTATAAATAAATCAAACATTAGTGCAGGGGCCTATTTTGGACTTTATTAATGCATTCAGGATTTCTAGTTGGTTCCAACTGAGAAACTAAAGAAATGACACTTCTTAAACACATAGTACCCAAGAACAAGTCACATTTTTTTTTTTTTTTTGAGACAGGGTCTCAATCTGTCACCCAGGCTGGAGTGCAGTCACACAATCTCAGCTCACTGCAACCTCTGCCTCCCAGGTTCAATTATCCTGCCTCAGCCACCAGAGTAGCTGGGATTCCAGGTGCGCACCACCACACCCGGTGAATTTTGTTATTTTTAGTAGAGGCAGTAATTCACCATGTTGGCTAGGCTGGTCTC